ACGTCATCCAAACGTCATTCCGGCGCCAGAGCAACAGCCAATCCGCAACGGAATTCCCTCCAGTAGCCACGAGGAACAACTCAGCTTTCAAAAAAACGCAAGTAAACGAACAAAATCTTCTATCTGCTGAACTGGCGCTGATGATTGATTTAAGCAGTAAACGTAAGACAAACCTCTGCTTTATGAATTCCCTCAGGCTGAATTTAAAACCACTCGTGAAAACGAGTTAAAACTTTGGGAACTTCTCAGAACTCCATTAACTTCATTTTCCTTCTTCAGAGACTATATGTATGTGTATGTCTTAGCTTAGGTCAATGTAATTTAGAATAGCCAATAAATTCATGTTTCATTTATAAAGAATCATTGTCTGGTGTCGTATAATTTTAAAGTCAAACCTTGCCAAGATCTTGCTACCTAGCTCGTAGCGTATAACTTATCAAATAACGTATTAACCCGTGGCCAGGGAAAATACATATAGTCAAATTGTTAATATACACTGACATTAACATCTCGCAGGACGAGCAGCTGATAAAGTGTAAAATATCAAATTTGAAATCAGTTTTAATCAGGTTGACCTCGAATTTTCAGATTCGATTCCTCTCAAAACCTGAGCTAGAAATAAAATTAATGATTAATTCCCTTATAAGAATTAATGAGTTAAATTCCTTACAAAGGGTTTCCCAACTGAATCAACCTATTCCAGTCCCTGAGAGAATTTATACAAAAAGAAAAATATAATTAAAGCAAAAATGGTGGCTTGAAAACATCTGTCCAGGTGCTCTGGAGAATGATTTGTCTGACTTCCCGCCAGGAAAGTGACTGCTCATGCAATCATGTATAAAACATGCGTTTTGTTTATATACAATATATTGCATACTACATTTTGTAATAATATAAATTCTGTAATATTACACAAAGATGTGTTGGGGAATTTATGCAATATATTCCTATTCGAGATATTACAAACATTTTACTGATAAACAGCTATTTATCTTCATTACTAATATTATTCTGAGGTATCAGGTATTTTGTGGAAACATTCAGCAGCTGTTTTTTGCAAGGCTAAATCCATCCAAAATTACAATATTCATCATATTCTGCCTATTGTGTAAATCAAATCACAGAAAAAGCAAATGGTATCTGGCATAAAAAGAGAACTACTTCTCTTTAAAAAAACTTGCAACCAAAAAGCAGAACATTTTCGGCGGCGAGAGAGACTGAGCTGAGCCATGTTTCTGGACTCTTGGGTGACCAATCATGGCCAGTACCAAATTTATCCACTGTGTCTTGCTGAAATAAAAACTGTTCACTGTAGGCTGCCAGTTCACAATAACAGTGATGGCTTGAGTGTATGGAACACACCCTATTATGAAGCTCATCTGCATAAAATTGGATCATTTTGAATCAATATATATATATATATATATATATATATATACACACACACATACACACATACACACACACACACACACATATATATATACATATATATATTGGTTCAACATGATCCAATTTTATGCAGATGAGCTTCATAATAGGGTGTGCTCCATACACTCAAGCCAGTTAATTTTATATATATATATAAAATTAACTGATTTGCATGTATATTTAAATGTAAATGAGTCATTTGGTTAGATTATTTTCTTTACAGGGCTATTTAGTGTGTAGTGCGAGTCTCTTCCACTGCGCCAAATCTGGGTCTCACACTGTCACATATCATAAGTGCATTAAGAAACTTTACCTTAATGGCTTAAAGCACATCTAACAACGTGACAATAGCAACATTCTTCTTTCTGAAGGATAATTGCGCAAGTTTTGCTTTCATCTTCAGCTAAGTATGCTAATGCACCAGCTTAAATGGGTTTGCTGTTAAAACTTGTTTTAAAAAAAGTGATGTTGCTACTAAATATGAACATCAGAAAAGGTTTCATCTGTGTATTATATATCAGTAAATTTCCTAAAAATTAAAATGACAAGGGAGCAGAAAAAAAAACATTCAAATCTAGCAAGAACAAAAGAAAATAGATGCAAGACTGCCAGTTTATAATGCCAGAATGCTGTTCTAGTGATTATGGTTTTTGATTATGATTATTATTCATGTGCTTTCCAATCTGCGACAAGAGATAACTGTGTCCATAGCAGTGCAAAACATCTCCCTCTCTGTCGCACACCCACACAAAATTAGAAGAAACAGAGGAATCGTACCTGATGAGCCATTTGTAAAGCCCCACGTCAAAGTGTCTGAAAAGCAAAAGACAGTAATGAGTGAGCTCAGGAGTTAAAAACAGATGGTTCGAGGTAACACACACATTTCAGAACATGACACAACACAAACGTGTTTAATCTGAACAGACATAAAGAGAAGAGAATCTGCATAAATGAGATGCTCGAGGAAACCATTTTAATGAATCTCTGGGGACAAACGCTGGCATTTGGTGAGATAGTCACAGAACTAGGAGACATTTTCTCAAAGCGGCTGATCCCAAAACAGTTTTGCCATTTATCTAGTTGAGCTGCAGTCTAACACTGGACTTTGTAGCAGGTTTGGGACACACAAAAACAAACTCACTGATCTGGTAGGCAGAAACAATATTCATGCATTCATACGGAACTATATTTGCTCATTTTCTGAAGGAAATGTGAGTGAGAAAACCAACTTGCCCATGCAAAACTTGCAACCACAATGCTAGTGTGTCACAGGTCAGGTGGTTGTCAGGATGTTGCCATGGGGTTGCGTTTGGATGGCTGCTATGGGATTTTTAATGGCCTGAGAGCATCCGCAAGTCTATATGATATTCTGGTCATTACATAGCTCTGGTCTTTTTAATTCAAAAATTAAATAAATAAAAAAATACATATGAAAAAAGTTATACAATTATTTGTATTTACGTTGAAATATAAATATATAAATATATAAACAAATAAAAATGTACATTATTAAAATTAAAAATAAAAATAAAATAAATCATGTTGAACTGGGCTGAAATTAATTAAAAAAATATCTTGATCTTTAGAAACTACAAGAATATCAGGTCTGGATCTCAATTTTATATAATACTGTATGTTTCTAACAAACAATATAAAGTGCCCCTTAACATTTAGCTTGTATCAAACCATCATGACAGCAAAAATATTGATTTGGCCCTTTGTAACTCCATTTCTTTCTCTGCAGGACTTTTTCTTCTTCCTGTTCCCCTGAGCAGGTGCGAACAAATGTCCTCAGGTCATCACTATAGCCACAGTTTCTCTTATTGTTATCCTTACTTTACTTCTAGTCATCCATCTATCCACATTTAATCCCTCTTCCTTCATTCTGACAAAATGCTATTTGCTAGCGATCAGCTGTTAAGTATGGGTGAATGGAAAGATGGGTCAAAATTTTCATTTTACAATTCACAGTGAAAAATGGATTAAGGTTTAAATGGATGAGTAAGTGGACAGTAAAATGGATATCTCCATCATCTCATCCAATTAGAGCAAATACACAATCCGAATTTGACAACAACAGACGGTTTTCTGGCCATAAGGCTTTCACATGCAGTCTGTCGCTTACTGAGTCCAAATACACCCAGACCCAAGAGACAGCAGTAAAGAGCTGGAGCCGCTTGCTTCTAAAAACAGGCCTGTATGAGGAGAAACTGACACGTGCAAGCAAATGGCTGCTAACATGACAGAAAGCCCTGACATGAAGTTTTCATGAGCCAACAGAAACTCAAAATCAAAATCTTCAGTGCTGAAAAATATCCATCTGGAAAGAAAGAGAGAGAGAGAGAAAGGCCAAACAAAGGCGAGAGATTGTCTGGAGGGGGATGGATTGGGTCTGGGGTCTACGATACATAATGACTCCTAAATCAGATTGTCCAGGATCGTTTGATTCATTCCAGCACTTCCCAGCATTCATTAGCAACTATTGATGAAATCTGCTTCAGCTCTGGGGAAATAAAGTCATCCGGGAAGGCTAGGAGAACAGATAAAGCAGAAGTAATTTCACTCTATATTAATAAAACATTATGTGGAGACATGCAGTTGTGCTTGTCTCTACTGTTTAAGTCCAGAAATACACTACACAAATGTTTAGCCAATGCATTTGTTTTACATACTTTAAGGGATGATTCATACCACACAATTACTGTAAACTTTCATCATTACAATCATTCAGGCTCAAGCTCTACATGAACACCAAACCAGAATTATTAAACCAAATTGTGTCATTTATTATCACTAAATCATTATTAAAGTTAAAAAATTGCTACTAGTGGTAAAAGTTCTGCTAAGAGTCAACACAAATATATTAAAAAAACTGGATATATTACACAATTTTGAGCTTTTTTCTATTTTCTAGGTTCATTAAAGCTAAATATCAAATTTTCCAGCTTAGGAATCACTACAATATAATCTGTATATTTTCAGGCCTAAAGCACCACAGTAAGATGCTGCCATTCTATTCAATTCAACACATTCCCTCTGAATTGCCAATTTGACTCCACTACATGCATGTGGCACATAAACTAGGGGCTATTAAAACAGACACAGAGAACAAACCGAGCTGGAATCTCATGTCTGGTGTCATTCATGAGCTGTAAGTCAGATGGTGGTTCATGAAGCTGAAAGTGAGATACACATCGGAACAGATTCACTCAATACCCTGCTGTTTCCATCAGATAGGGCTTCTCAACTTCAGACATCATCTGACAAAGCAGGCCTAAAGGAAACAGTTTCTAGACACTTCTCACAGCTGTTTTCCTCGTGATACCACTAAACTATAGGTGAGCTGATGAAAAGAATAGAGATCAGCATAAAACCTGGCCTCGTTCTCACTGTGTGTGTGTGTGTGTGTGTGTGTGTGTGAGAGAGAGAGTGAGTCAGGTTTTGCCTACATTGTGGAGACCTAATGTCCTCACAAGGGTAGTAAAAAGGGCAGTAAAAGACCAGCTAACAGTCCCCATGAGGAAAATGTGTCAATAAACATACTAAATAATGCTCTAATGAAAATCTAAAAATTGGTGAGAGCTGTTAAGGGACAAAGGACAGAAAACTATTTTTTAGCTTGGTATAAGGATAAATAACAATAAAGATCCACAATAAAGAAAAAAGAAGGAAAAGGAAAGATCTAGAGATTGGGTTTTTAGAAATGTAGTCTTTGTATTCATGTTGGTTTCATATGGTTTTGGAAAAACTTTTATACAATTTTCAAGAAACAAACATTTAATCCTTCTAAAAAAAAAAAAAGTCAAGTAACAGCATATTTCCCTACACTTCAAATATATGGGAGTATGCATATATTAATTATTTTCAAAAACATTTTTAAATATATTTTTTCCAAGGTAAGAAGTATTTTTTTTTTAAAAGGATCATGAATTATTAATTCATAAATGTTATGTTTTAGCAAGTCACACCACATGACATTTCACAACCTTGGCTTCTCATAAATACTGTAGGTCAAATTATTAGACATTTTAAGAGACTTATTGTCCTTGACACATAAGTCTGCAACGTTCTCTCAGTGATGTCATTCCTGTTTTTTTCCCTGCACATTTCTCATAATTCTGCTAAACTACTGAAGTATTTCTTTTTAAGAATTTCTTTCTTTTAACAATGATTTTTTCTTCATCATGGTATCAGGACAGATGTATAATCCTGACATGTTTGACTTTATACCTGCCCCCAAAAAATATCAAAATGAATTTCACTTTAGAAATTAAATGGCTATCGAACAAGCCAAGCCAAGCCAAAAAAAAAAAAAAAGGCATAACTTGATTTTATCCATCAGTTGTAGGGATGTAACGATTAACCACGAGCCGGTTGAAAATCGATTCAAATATGTGACGATTCAAATCGGTTGAGATGCTAAACAAATTGCGATTCATTTAGAGGCAGGAGTTTATATGAATGTATGTCTGAGGGGAACTTACAGTCTTTAGAAAAGTTTAGATGGTATTTTTTCTTTTAATCTTGCCTCTGTATAATGCATATTAAAGTTCATAAGTGCAGCGCTCCTTAGTTTACAGCGGAAACCAAGGAAACGCTTTAAGCCCCACCTGCTGGCAGAGCATGAATCTGCGTCTCATTCAGCTCGTCTGCTGTTTCAGTTTCACAGATATTTTTTATGTATAGTTTCACAAAACTGAAGTCAGACCATTCTGTTTTTGCTTCAAATGTCGAAATTATACAATCTAATTAAGATAAAAAACTGCTCATGTTGCATGTATGCAGCATCTTTGTTTGGATCATGATTAAAATGCAGTGGTTGCCTCTCATTTTAAATGGAAAGGGCACAGACAAAGCCTTATTTTGTTTATATGAAGAGATTTATTTTATCTGTCTTTACTTATTTATTTGATTTGGGGTTTGTTTTAAAATTTCAATTTTAAAATGTCAATTTTTCAAGTTTTATTTACATTTACATTATATTTACATTTTGTTATTTAGCAGACGCTTTTATCCAAAGCAACTTACAAATGAGGACAATAGAAGCAATCAAAACCAACAAAAGAGCAATAATATGCAAGTGCTATATTAGTATATTATTATAGTGTTATATTTCAATTTCACAAAGAATCGTGCAGCATTTTGTTCAAGCAATAATAGGACACATTTTGTTTATAATTTGTCTTAAATCTCATTTTGCAAAAAAAAAAATGTGTGAATCGAATCAAATCGTGAAATCAAAATCGTGAACCGAATCGTGAAATCAAAATCGTGAATCGAATCGTGAGTTGAGTGAATCGTTACATCCCTAGTTGAATAGATTGCAATTAACTTGGTCATATAAGCGCCAAGTTAGCATATGACAAAAATAGCAAGTTATGACATTTTGGCTTAGGTCAAGGTTAACAATAACAAAGTCAAAGAAATTGTATTTTAAAAATGCTCTGTTTAATTGTTCAGAATAAGACCAAAAACATGCATTAAGACAACAAATTTAGATTTAATGCCAAATTGGAAATAATAGCCTTGTTCCACTGATCCATAAAAACAGAGCCATTGAGAGTGATCAGATAAGCTATAGGCAGGAGTCAGCAAAATGGTATAGAATGTGTGTGTTGATGCTAGACTAAACGAACAGCGTTTTATAGCAACCCATAAACCTTTCAACTGCCGTAAACTCAGACCATGATAGTAACCGTACTAAATCACACACATGCACACACAGCAATACTCACACATTCATGCACGTGTGTGCAGACGCATGCACGCTCACAGACAAAGCAATATCCAGATTTAACTACAGCCAAGAGCAACATCTCAACCTCTCTTTCTCTCTCAATGTTCTCAATCTCGTTTGCTCCCTGTAGGATACTTGCACTGTAATCAGAGACTATGATGTCCTGCAGTATGGGGTACTGTCTCCACGTGGTATGTTGCATCCGGCGGTTCTGAGCCATTAAACACAGATATGAGCATGTGAGTGGGGTTTAGAAGTATATCAGTGTGTGCGAGTGTGTTGAGGCTATGCTGAGCTGTTGGAAAAAGTGTATGTGCTTGCGCTCCATCGGGTCCAGAGGAGCTGAGCTCTTTCTCTCTGTGTGGGATTGAAGCCAGACGGGGTCTTACAGCAGGTCCTGCTAAAGTCTCCGGCATACGTCTGTTTCCTTACAGCTCTCATTTATCACACTCTAAACTCCATCACCTTCAACACCACTCAGACACACACACTGGTGTTTAACCTTCCCGGCTCTCAGAGCTTCAGCAGCTGTCTGCAGCGCAGATCTGCTGATATACACAAAAACATGCACGATTACACAGGAAACAGAAGATAGTGTCACTCTATCTACACGACGTTGAGTGACAATGATCTGCTGGGTTATGAAAATTAACTGACAATCACTGGTATAGTGAAGTAGATCATTACGTGAAGTTATTACAGTTAGTTGTTGTTTTTACTACTGTAAAATAATTTAAGACCATTTAAAATAATTTTAAACGAACATGAAATCTAAAATAAGCTTTCAGAATTGTTGTGTCATGATGTTTAATATCTTTTTTTGGCAGTGATGGTTAATACTATAGTATATAATGCAGAAGTTTATATATTATATAAAAACTACCATACCAATGTTTGGAAAATTAACACTTTTATTCAACAAGGATGCATTAAATTGATCAAAAGTAACAGTAAAGACATTATAAAGTTTACAAATGATTTCTATTTCATTTAACTCTCTATTCATCAAAGAACACTGAAAAAGTATAATGATTTCCACAAAAACAGTAAGAAGCATAGTTGTTCTCAACATTGATAAGAACAAGAAATCCAGAAAATCAGCATATTAGAATGATTTCTGAAAGATCATGTGACACTGAAGACTGGGGTGATGGCTGCTGAAAATTCAGCTTTGCCATCACAGGAATAAATTACATCTTTAATACATATTCAAACTGAAAATAGTTATTTAAAATTATAATAATATTACAAAATAGTAATATTTTTTACTGTAATTCTGATCAAATAAATGCAGCCTTGGTGCAGCATTCAACAAAAAAAAGCTGACCTTAGTGCTATTTCAGTAATTATTGTTATTATTATTTAATTTGATTTGAGTCCTTTGCACATTGCACTATGGATTTATGAAAGTAAGCAAATATATCAGTAGAAATGTACATATTCTACCAAGTTTAAAGAATGTGATGAAAAAAAAAGATCAGATAATCTAAACACTCTGCTGTTTCCAGACTGGTGTTGGTTGCATAGGAGACCATTCCAGACTACTGAAGTTGAAATGCTGTGTATCTTCATCAAGCTTTGAAGCTTTTAAAGTAAAATCCAATCATCTTGCAGGAAGCCTGATTGTACTAGCCTATTCTACATCGTCTCACGAGACATCAGATCGCTAAACTCCATCAGAGAAGCCGAACGCTCAATTCCATACGTTTGACACAAGATGTTTGTGACACTAAACAGAAAGCATGGATCTTGTTATGCTCCTGTAATGTGCTTGTAGATGGGTGTAAGTGAGTCTTATAGCATTGTGCCAATCGTTTCATGGCTGAATCAATTATAGTGAATGCAGTACAGCTCTGCCCCCTGATGTTACACAGAAGTACTGCAGGGGATAACAGAATCGCTTCAAAATCAGTCCAATCCAGCTCTATAAAGTCAAAAGGCAGAACTTTTGAGGTTTGACAGAACACAGAAGTGTGTGTATATTTACCTCCACATCCCAGTGAAGCTGTACATGATGCTGACACAGCGTGGTAACTTGGGCGGCTCAAGCCCATCCAATCTGACAAGCAGAGACACCACTCCAAACAAGACCAGATACTTTACATAAAAAAACTGGACCAATGCAAGAGCCAAACCACCTGCAGGTGAAAAGGAGAGAGTGGTACATGACATTAAAAAGTAAAGCAACCATGTGATTGATCTCACACAGACATTTGCCCTTTAAACATCTGAAATGACAGGGCTGTTCGGCCACATCAGGTGCCACAGTTTTGGCCATGCAGTGTATGTTAACCTCATTTCGTCCGTTCATCCCATTCTGGCTGAGAAGAACCGCAGATTTGATGATTTATATCAGATTTCAGTTTTATTCTGAACTGTTTCATAATTTAGTTCTATCATCCTCATCCTCTCTAGTCATCTCTCCCTCTTCGCTTCTCTCTTTCTGTGTATAAGTGGAAACTGAGAACAGCATCTGTCTTTCCCATATCCCACTGGTACAGAGCTAAAAGCTTAAAGGACAGAATTTCTGCAAGCCCTTTCTGTACAAAACAGGTACAAAGTGGCGATAATGACTCGATATTCCTGCTGTATAGACCCTCTCTACACTGCTCTCTCTTGCAGTGTCTGTGTTTTTGAATCAAAGTTCAGGCAGCACAAATCAGCAACTTCCACAGATCAATAAACTGTGTGTATGTGTGTGTGTGTGTGTGTTTTCGTTGTGAACATCTGTGCAAGATAATAATGTAATAAACACTTTCACACCCAAAATAACAGCAGTTATACCATGACAGACTGTATCCATTCTGAAAGACATAAATTGGATAAAAAAAATACTCACTGATTTCAAATATCCATACTTCTCTGCTTCACAGTATGCAAACAGCAGTACGTCAAAAAAGTAAGATGTTGAAAAAGCCAAGGGGCCATCGGATTTAAAAAGAGTTGCTATTTTCAAGTATAAGCACTGCAGTTACCATGAAAGTTGATACTTGGGGATATACTACTGTTTAAACATTTGAGGTCAGTAAGATTTTTTTTTAAAGAAATTGATCAAACAAGATAATAAAAGACATTTCAAAAGATTTATATTTCCAATAAATGCTGTTCTATCTGCTCATCAACGAATCCTGAAAAAAGTGCATCACAGTTTCCACAAAAATATTAAGCAGCACACGTTTTTTCAACACTGTTATTATTAAAAACAGTTATTTTATATTATTATAATATTTCACAATATTACAGTTTATACTGTATTTTTCATCAAATAAATGAAACCTAAAAGACTTCTTTCAAAACATCCCAAAAACTCCTACTAACCCCAAGCTTTTTAATGGTAGTGTACTTATTTGACACCCAAGTAGACTGTATTTGTGGTTGTTGGTAGCACGTCTTAGGTCAAAAAACTTCAAAAGGACAAGGCCAACATGACAGATGTAGTGTGTCTGGAAATGCATTCATACTACACACCTGCATCCCTAAAGACTGTTGAGACATTCTTCATCAAATTCAGTAAATACTATGAAAGTTCATGAATTCATATGCAGCCACAAACTTACCCAGCGCCCAGGGTGGCAGCATCTCCAAGTAGGTTTCGTTGCTCTGGATGGCGTGCATGTACATGAAGTGGATCATGAATTCGGCTAAACACCACCAGACACACACACGCAGTATTCCACTCAACACATACACCACAGAGACTTTACACACTGGCCTGTCTATCTGCAGAGACAGAGAAAGACATTCACAGTACATCTGGATAAAGCACAGACCCTGCAGCCTTTTATGTATCTCATTTTCTTCTACCTGTTCAGTGAAGTCTCTGAAGGTCACAATGGGTCCGTTGTAAAACAGAGGGTGATAGAAACAGTAGGCAGTGAGCTTGTAGAACTGAAAAATGAGGGTCTTCAGTCCTTTAACCTCTATAGGGGGGCAGTGGTTTGGTCCTCCAGCCTGCAGGGGGCACCAGCACAGCTCCAGACTAAAGCTAATGCAGTGCAAACTACAAACAGCAGTACTGAAGAGCAAGAGGTAATACTGGTCCTCAGAAGTGTACCAACCACGCTAGAGACAAATAAAAAAAATAAAGAAAAAAACATTTAAAACCATTTCAATTAACCGAACTAATCAGGAAACTGCATATCAGTGTAAATCTAAATTGCAATTAAGCTGGCGCTAATAGATGCATGTGCCTCTGTGGTAGCAACAGGGAGAATTTGTTTTGTTATTTTTTAATTAATCATTTGTAATATATTATTGTTATTATTATTAGGTCAGTCTGGAGTGCCATTGGTGTCCCCTCAAAAAAATTTTTTTAATTAATTAATTCATTCATAAATAGAGGAGGAGTCGAGGACACAATCTTGTCAGAACTGGTGAAGCAGGACCACAATCTACAATCTACAAAATTCATAGAAAAAGAAAATCACAGACAGAAGGGACAGCTGTGCAGCCTGACCACAAAAACAGAAAAAGAATTGCTCCAATATATTCAGATCCTATTCCCCAAATAACTTCCTGTCACCCTCTACTAATTCTGCCAAAGCCCCCAAATAAAAGTTAATTTTGTTTATTCAGGATTAGATTCAGGCTTCTGTAGGCTTTATTATTATTTATCATTTAGTCATTATTTTTCCAGTTAAGAAATGACAGTTCCTTAACAATGTGTTCGCTAGGCTACTGTGTAAATGATGAATAACCGCTGTAAACCACAGCTCCATCTTTCCAGAATTCTCCACCTCAGACCAGCATCCACTGATCCTCTGTGGTGAAACTAAACTATTATGATTTACTGGGCATGCTCAGAAGATGACAGCTGGCATCCAGCCAGGAGACACAGCAGCAGCCACTTTCAAAAACTCATTATCGCCACTCAAAAATAAAGCTATAACCACCTCTAAATTACACTAAATGACAGGGCAGCATTCTGAAATTAGTCACTGGCTGATCCACTGTTTTTTCTTTGTATGTCATTATGGCGATCTCTGCGGTGGCTGCATGGGTATTGCTGTCTTCCTGAGGGTTTTTCACAGCTCATAAGTAACTGAGGTAAAATGAGATGTACTGAAAAAAAAGAGATCATTAAAAGCGAATAAAAATCACATTAGATTAAATTACAGTTGTTTGTTCTTCAGATGGGTATGTTAATGACTGCTTTGAGTAATAAATAATAATTAAATGAAGGTTTAATTAAGGGGGGAAGCTTTGGGCCTGTGTCACAATTAATCAAGGAGAAACTCGAGGCAAGGAGGGAACTCATTTGTCACTCAGATCAATATTCCCTCTGTCTCTTTCCTCCTCTCCATCTGCACGAGCTTGTTGATCTCGTTGCTTTCCCCTTCAGTCAGATATCTAATGACAGCTGTCAATCAATCATTCACTGTGTCAAGTGACTAAGCAGATAAAGAAACAAACAAAAAAACAAGACCTTCTGGGAGACAGCTGGCTCTTTTTGTTGTGCTGTTATAACATCTATTGTGTGGTAAAAAAGGAAATACACAAGCACTGTTGTGCATGTAAATGTTTGACTTTGAATATTTGCATGGGAGACTGTTTGAGAGTGTATGCCACCGTATTTGTGTGAAGAGAATGGTGACATTTAATGCAGGCTTGTTTCAGTCTCATCTCCATTCTCTCTGCGGAGCTCTGCAGATGTGCTCTGAGAGCCCTTGAGACAGCACAGACTCTGCTGGACCTGATCCTGAACCAGACAAATCCCTCACTCTGTCCATCACACCTCACCCCATCAATACAGATAGCTTTAAAGGGATACAGGTAGTTCAACCAAATACCAAATCATTTCATCAAACCTGTATGCCTTACTTTGTGGAACACAAAAGGAGAAATTATGAAGATTGTGCTGGTCACTCTTTTCCATGCAATTAAAATAAATGGGAATTTAAGCTTAATGCGCCCATCCATAAAAAAAAAGTGTCTCACACGGCTCCGGGGGGTGAACAACGTCCTCCTGTAGTTTTTGTAAGAAAAATATCCATATTCAAAACGTAAACGGAAGCAGTTCCGGGCGGATGACGTATGAGGTCAGCGTTGCGCATGCGCCGCTCAGAAGTGACGCATGCGGAAACGCAGCGCAGAGATCAAAACAAATCAACGGTCACTAATTAGAAGTACAAAATGAGGATTTGTAAAGAAGAATGTCGGAGGATTTCGATATAAGCCAAGAGGAGACTGGTTTTCCTTTGCTAAAGTAAGGAAACTTTGCTTCCTTTGCTCCTTTAAACAAACGTTGGCTTTCACGAGACTCACCGGCGCATGCGCAAGGCTGACCTCATACGTCATCCGCCCGGAGCTGCTTCCATGTACAACTGTTGGCGCAAGCTAGATTAAAGTGATTATTACGTTTTGAATATGGATATTTGTCTTACAAAAACACATTAATTCGCTAGAGGAGGCCTTTGTTCACCCCCCGGAGTCGTGTGAGGCACTTCTTTTTATGGATGTGCGCTTTTTTCACGACCAAATCAACCAGTTTTGCAATTGCTAACTAAAACTACAAATTTTTAAAACTATTTAAAAAAAAAATTTTTTCTTATTAGAAATAAAATAATAAATTTTGTTACTGAAATTAAATAAAATATAAATATAAGATGAAAAAATTAGAAAACCAGACAATTAGAAATGTTACCTTGGCAACTAAATGAAATAAATTTAAGCTTAAGTACTAAAACTATAAAAAATTTAACTGAAAAATAAATTAAATAAATTAAAGCCAAATAGAGATATTTAAATAACATAAACTTGCTAAAACCTAAACTAAAATTATGAAAACTGCAGACACCCTTCCTCTCCTGGGAAGTCTGGAAGCTCCAACATATTGATAGCAGCCCTTAGACCTGCAAATTATATACAACATCCTGGAAATTTCTGATTTCATCACAACCTACATTACTTTTGTAAGACCGCTGAGTGTGGTGCACAAACACTACTGAATGCAACCTCTCTGAAATTAAGCTATTGACAACAGTTTTGATTCAAAAGAACAATTCATTCAAGTCAGGCATTGCTATTTCCCTCATGAATACTGAATATGGTGCACGAGTCATATGGCTATTTTTTTGACGGTTTTATGATACATTTATGTGGTTTTGCATCCTTTTTTAAGCTTGAAAGATCTAGCCATCGCTCACGATAATTTCATGGAAAAAGCAACCAGCACATCATTCAAATATCTCCTTTTGAGTTCCAAGAGAAAAAAAGCCATAACGACTTGGAACAACATGAAAGTGAGTAAATGAGGACAGACTTTCATTTTTGGGTGAACAAACCCTTTAAATTGGACATTTTCATGCATCTTTAGAGGAAAAGAAAATTTGGTGCATCACATACATGGTTTACAGCTATTACTGACACACACACACACACACACACACACACACACACACACACACCTGTAAATCCTGAAAGGCAGTGACATTGAGCGTGGAGAGCAGCAGGAGGGAGCAAACCCATGAGAGGATGGAGCTACGTAGCTGAGCAACCACCAGTGTGATGCTCAGATGCAGCATCAAAAGAGTCAAGCCCTGCACTCCCAGAAGCCAACCAGCTGAGAGGACGCCATACACTGTTAAGACTGCCAGTCGGAACTGTAACATAAATGCACAAGAAAAAATGTAGAAACATGCAAATATTTGATGACTTTGCTCAAGTTCATTTGCTCTGAATTAAACTTACCTGAGGCAGAAAATAAGCCACATACATGGTTTACAGCTATTTCTGACACACACACACACACACACACACACACACACACACACACACCTGTAAATCCTGAAAGGCAGTGACATTGAGCGTGGAGAGCAGCAGGAGGGAGCAAACCCATGAGAGGATGGAGCTACGTAGCTGAGCAACCACCAGTGTGATGCTCAGATGCAGCATCAAAAGAGTCAAGCCCTGCACTCCCAGAAGCCAACCAGCTGAGAGGACGCCATACACTGTTAAGACTGCCAGTCGGAACTGTAACATAAATGCACAAGAAAAAATGTAGAAACATGCAAATATTTGATGACTTTGCTCAAGTTCATTTGCTCTGAATTAAACTTACCTGAGGCAGAAAATAAGCCGCTAATCTGGACACCACAGCATGGCCAATCAGAGACCACAAAAGAGATTGCCACGCCCACTCATTCCAAAAACTCCACTCAAAATCAGTAGGGTCCTAAAAAAACACAGACAGAAAAACCCACACATATACAAATGCATACACACATAGAGTGTCTGTGTGTTTTGCATTTATGTATAAAACAAAATTGATGATTGAGCGGGAAACAGGAAATTGGGGTTGGTGGGGTGCATCAGCCAAATGTGTCACCCTGATTAAAGTCACTAATATAATTACCATGTGTTCTCTCACCTTCTTGAATCCCCATATAAGGAATCCTCTCTCCATCTGCACCTCTCTGTCCAGGCTGACCTCATGCTCTGTCAATCACACAAAGGAAACACATTTCCCACACACTATTCAGGAGGTAAACAAAGTCCGCACACAGGACTATTTTGGCTAACTAAAATCAGAATTGTGGTTACTGGCCAAGTGAGTATACACCTTGATGAAGTGTATTTGGCAAATGTATTTTGGTGTTCCCAAAATCTAATTCACAAGAACTATACAACACATAATAAACATTTAAGACTGTGGTTCTCAACCTTTTTGACTCCATGGTCCCCTGTTGCTCACAACAAGGTCCAATTACTATGATTTACTCGACAAGGATTAAGGATAAGGATTTTAAAAATCACAATTGCTAAAATAAAATTAGCTAATATAAAGTATAATATATAAAATAAAAAATAGCTTGGCATAACTGAAAAATGTATTTATAATATTCATTCATAATATTCACTATAAAAATGTCTATGGAGTTTATGATTGTATTAACTTATATGACTTTTCCAGGCCTAGAAATCACACTTTTAAAATTAGGCTTCATCATATATCCATGTTTTTTAATACAGTTGTTGAGGGGGTGAATTAAAATAAGATACATCTTTATTTGTGTTGTTTTGGCTTATTTTGATGCACGTTTTGTATTATTTTAAAATATTTTGACATCCCTTAAGACCCCCTTAGACATTTGCTGAGACCCCTTAGTGAGCCCTAGCCCCCTGGTTGAGAACCACTGATCTAAGATATTCAGCATTCACGTCATTCTCCACTTTTATGATACGGACACTATAGGACATGACGGTTTCAAAGCAAAATTTCTCTTGAAGAGATGGTTCACCCAAAATTGAATATTCTGTCATTCGGTTTTCTCACCCTCATGTTATTCCAAACCTGTATGGTTTTCAAGGGAAAGTTTAGCAGAACATCCAAGTTATTACAATAAATGCGAACTTGTCACCACCCACTTTTAATGTCAGGGTGAAAGCAGCTCTGACATTCTGCTAAACTTCTCCTTGGTTTTCCACAGAAGAAACTAAGACATACAGGTTTGAAATGATGACAGAATTTTCATTTTTAGGTGAAAAATCCCTTCAAATCAACTGTCACTGCGAAGAACACAAGAACTTCAAGGCACGTGTTGAAAAATGGATGAAAAAATTCTGAATATTGGATCTTGTAGCTGGAAGTTTCAGATGAAGGATAAAATCATTTGCATATTCTCTGCATACATGCATTAACTCTATTCTTTCTCCCCTGCAATGCAGTGTCAGTTTGGTATTGTTTTCTCCACCCCGCCCCTCTCTCTCTTCATCCAGTTTCTCAGGACGGACCTCTCATCACCTCGACAGACGGTTTTCCTGCAGGGTGCACTGGCAGGCAAGGATCTATCCACACTATCATAAACACGCACACTTTTTCTGGAAATGAAAGTGTACACGGAAATATAAGTAAGAACACAGTGCCATCTGGTGGTTGCACTGTGTTGGAACACAAAGACTGCACAAAGTCTTCCCATGGGCATGTTTGCTGTGATATAGATCTTAAGTGACACTGACCTGGAGTCATATTTTGTATATTGAATCACGTCAGAGAAAATGTGATTAATGGTGTTTAAAGTGTCTTCAGGATCAAAAAATGTCAGACCTAGTCAATTGCGATTAGACACAAAAAGTTGCCATGTTCAACCTGTGAATAAAACTTAAGAACACTGACTGACTGACTGATTTCCTTTACAAATATATAAAGTAAATGTTTTGCCTACCATCTCAAGTATTCAGTTCAGCTTCAAAATGTTTTCTCTCAGACAACATAACTTAGCCAACTAGATGGCATTCTTTAAAAAGATTTAGTATTAAATGTATCAGCAGTTTCACCCACTGTTATTATCTATGCAGTGTTTTCTCTGTGCATGAGGACCCTATTTTGAAGCTTTATTTTTGCACTTTTTTGACTGGCATGTTTGGTTGAAAGAGATCAAAATGGGTGCTGTTTGTTGCCTTTTGCTGACCTGAGATCCCATCATCCCTCAAAATGACAGCACAACCTTTTCAGAGCCCTTAGAGTC